TATGTGTAATCATCAGCATAACTAGGAGCTGCTTTGTACCTTGGGCCGTTAATGGATTACATCGTAAATCGGCGCTGTTTCTATTTTAATAAATTGTTCTTTAATTTTTTGACTATTTAAATCGAGAATCTGTATTTTATTCGACTGTTTATTAAGGCAGAGTTTCTTGGGGCCAATTTCTCTCTCAAGGTTTTGTTTCCCGTATCAATATTACAACAATTTTGCTGGATGCCGACATAGGAAACCCGTTGGTATGTACATACTGTTTCGATATCTTTTTGTCTCGTTATAAAGTGAATATTAGTTTATTAGGAAATATGATATTGTCTAATAATAGTTAAGTGGTTTTGCTTTGCTTTCTCAGACTGCCACCGTCGTACCTTCTGGTATTTGATATTTCAACCGTCAAGCAACAATTCCTATATGCATTAACTTAATGCTGATATCCTGCTTCCCCAATCCAATTAGCAGTCCCGAAACCAATAAAATTGCTACATTCAAGTTTTCTATTAAGCTGCCCAGAACTATAGGTACGCCTTATTATCTTACTGATGTTAGTGCTGCCCCTTATAAGTGAATAAAATATGAAAGGAAGGTTTTGGTAATTTAATAAGATCCTTGTGTTACAATATAATGTCTCCGAGAAAGTAAAGTAATATCAAAAAGCTATTCGGATTTAATCCATAGCTAAAATATTAGAATGCTATAAAATAATGCTATATATTAGCATTAATAAGTTTATAATGGATACTAAAGTTTGAAAATAATTAGAGCAAGTAATTTAAATTATCAAAGTGCTTATTAAACATAAAAATAAAATAAAATTATATTAACAATTTATATTATAATATATTTAAAAACAGTAGCCAAATATTCTTGGAATTCCTCGATGACTAACCTGGTGGATATTTAAATAAATTTTAAGTTCTAAAATGTACCTGCTCTAAAATTTGAAAATCTACGACTAATACAACTACTGGCAACATCGCAGGAGCTTAGTTGTGTACGCTAAAAGCTGTATACGGATCCCAAAAATGTTTTATCCAGTTACGGAGTCCACTTGATCCGACGTGTTGGTCGGAGTCTACATAAAGCGCTACTCAGATAATAATATACACGGCGTATATTCTCCTGGAGTTAGTATAATACCGTTTTAGTACGGAGCCCACATTAACCGCTAGAAGTATATATATATATATATCTATATATATACAGTGTAGGTAAAATTATTTTATGGTCGGTATGGTAAAACTTAACAGGATATCTAATACAGATATAAAATCATATTTTCAGCGAATAGACAGAGATAACAATCATTCCCCCTTGGTCTCCCCTCCATAAATCTTCTTGACGCCCATTTTGCCTGTTAGTGAGACGATTAGTTCCGATCAGAGATATTTTACATATTCTGTATTTCCGATCCTCATAAAGCTAAGAAACTAGAGGTGGGTCCTTTAGTTTTTTAAATTTTTATCGGAACCGTTTTTCGTAAACTGTAACTAGTTGATTGTTTACCAGTATTCAAATTAGCGAGTACACAAACATATTGGCTATTATCGTTTATGTGTATAAGTATTGAAGTGAAAGAAACTAACGAAGAATATATTTATTATAACTTGAAAAATAAATTAAACAATACAAATAGTACTTACATTTACATGGACTTAAGTCATCTTTATCAGTTTCTTTTTCTTGTACTAGTTAATTTTCAATAGTATAATATTCTTTTTCTTTTTTTTTATAGAAGTAACCAGCTTCAACCATCAACTAGTTGATTTTAACGAATTTAACCGAAAATTTAGAGTTTAACACGGTTTAATTAGACTGCTGCCATTTTTCTGGAAACCATAATTCAGAAAACATCGCTTTTAAAATTAGTGAAATTATTATTCAGTGGGGTCTAACAAAAAGTAAATTTTGCAGTAACTGATAATGCCTCAAATATGGCCATAGCTATTAAATATGTTTTGGAATGAAAACATTTAAATTGTTTTGCTCATACGTTAAATTTATTGATGGAGGACGCACTTAAATGCTGTCGTGTACAAATAGATAAAATAAAAAGTCTTTTTTTCGACAATTCGGCAAAAAACACATTTTAAAAAAGTACCTTATCTTCAGAAACGCTTTTAAAGTATCAATTACAACATAACAAAGATCCCAAACGGCCAATCCAAGACGTGTAAACTAGGTAGAACTTCTCCTATTACATGTTAGAAAGAATGACGGAGTTAGAAGAGGCAATCCGTTCCACATTTGTATCAGTTATTACTGACTTAGACTTAGACCAAATCTAAATAATGCAGACTGGATTATTTTTTCGTAATTGTCCTAAATTTTACGGCCCTTTAAAGAAATAACAAGTACAATGAGTGGCCAAAAATACTTGAATGATAGTTCAGTGATTGTTCTGGTACGCTGCCTGCAAAAATCTTGCAATAAAATTTTAGCAAACAGTAACCTTACATCCATAGTTAGTATCCGACGTAGTACGGGTTTTTATTACTAATTACGGTATAATTACTAATCTCGGGTTTAGCAAAAAGATTTAGAGGGATAGAATACAGTGGCATATTGTCATTATGTACGTTTATGGATTCACGATTTAAAGTGCAGGGATTTTCTGATAAAAATGCGCTAAAAAAACAAAAGAAAGAGTTAAGAAGCTGGTTACTTCTATAATTAAAGAACAAGAAGATTGTACTATTGAAAATCAATCAGTATAAGAAAAAGAAACCGATAAAGATGACTTAAGTCCATGGTATATTTTTGATCAATTAATTGGACATGACTCATCTAAACGTACACCTGTAGCGAGAGTCCATTACAATGGTGGAAAAACCATCGCCATGTATCTCCTAACTTAACCACTATATTCATAAAGTATTGTAAATGTGAACACATGTTCAAAATCAGGTTTAATTTTAAATAAAAGAAAAACACGGTTAATAAGAAGTAAAGTAAAAAAACTTATGTTTTTAAATGTCAATTTAGACGATTCGTGATTTAATAATAACGTGTAATGTAAACGTAGGTACGATTTACTATTTGTATTGTTTAGTTTAGTTTTCAAGTTATAATAAAATCTTTTATTAGTTTCCTTCACTTCAATAAATATACAGATAAACGATAATAGCCATTATGTTTGTTTATGTTGGTAGTTTCTTACTTGAAACTACTATTAAAAAATCATAGTTACTTGTTTACGAAAATCGGTTTTGCGACGTCAATGACCCACCTTTATTCGTAAATACCTGTTTACGCTTTGATTCGGTGATTTGACCACGCGACACGCCACGTTGGCAAATATACTTCATCTAATTTAGATAACGACTTACGTCATTATCTACGTCAGAGATCGAAGTTGACATAGTTGCCAAAGTATAAAAAAATCCTGACTCCATTTTAAACCAAATAGATTACATAATTATTGCAAAAGTATTACCATCTCTTTACAACGTAAATATTTAAATTCTTACGTGACATTTTTGAAATAAAACACACTAATTTTGTTCTAAACAAAAATATATTTTATTAAATAGTTAAAAATATAAAACAAGAGATATTCACTTTAAAATTCAAAATAATGAAGTACAAAAAGTGTCAACACCGGAACTGTCAAATAAGTGTTACCAATTTATGCCAAAATTTTACCTTCGTTCAATACAGTTACAGTGTGTTCCGAACAAATGTTCTCGATAAAAACGCTTTATAATGCATTTATACAAATTAAATGAAACATATTATTGTGTATTTCTTTAAGTTAACATTAATAGAAATTTTTAAATATTATTTCTACGCGTATATAATAAAATATTTCTAGTGGCTGTAATGCCAGTGTACTCGGTAAAGTGATTCTAAAAAAGAACACACCTACACCCTAAATATTTTGTGTTGGTATCATGTGACGTCACAGGCTATGACGCCGATGACGTGCATCGGTATATAAATTAGATGAAGTGTAGTTTTGTATCAAGCTTTTTTATTTATATGCAGTTTAATATTTTTATTGGAAATAAGGCATAATGTCACTTTAAAATAAGCTTATTTTGATGTTTAGATTTTTAATTCGGAAATCGTTTTTAAAATACCAAACATTAATAAATTTTATTTATATAAAACGATTTCCGAAGTATAAATCAAAATGTTATATTACACTTATTGTAAAGTAAAATTGTGGCATATTCCCAATAAAAAACAATAAGCTGCCATTTAAATCCATTTCGCCCAAATTTCATTATCTTGGAGCATTGTTCAAATGCGAAAAAGACAACAGGTCAAATAAAAACAATAAGTTTGGCAACGTTGAATTTCCCCTTTTTATTATATCCACTCCATCCATATCCACTCATTTATGTTCGGTGATATAAAAGGCGGACACCTAATATATCTCTCTCTTTTTAAACAGTTGTTTCTCACTCCATCTCATGTAAGGTCCATACCGACCATAAACTTTTACCTATACTGTATATGAACTAGAAGTATTTGCTGACCACGTAAGGAAGTAAACTTAAAATATTGGGTATGCAGCAATAAAAATGAAAAGTGTACTCTTTTAAATTTTTATTCCAAGCTTTCGGACATTGGTTATGTCCTTCATCAGGGAGCTACAAATGTGATGAATAATTTTTACAAATTTGTATAATTAATTAAAAATTCGATACTTACAAACTTAATGAGGTTGTATCATAAATGATTTTATAAAAATGATTATATATATATATATATATATATATATATATATATATATATATATATATATATATATATATATATATATAGGAATATTTAATAAACATAGGAATGTTTAATGAACTTAATTTATTTTAATGTATTTTGTTAGTTAATGCTCTCGCTGCGTTAGCCAACTGGTTTTCCATGTTCACTTTCCAAAAGAAATACCTATTGTTTTTTTTTTACTAACTAATTCATTCATTGTATATTTACATTTTTGCTTTAAATACGTGATTCGTTTTGTTATAATTTAATTGTATTTCTAGAATCCAAGGAAATCATGCTCAATATTATAGGACAGCGTTGAGATATCTGGGATGCATAGAGTTGGATACATTAACAGCAGAAGTGAAAGTACAACATGCTTTCTTTTTGGGTTTGGCAGCTCTATTAGGTGAAGGCGTCTATAATTTAGGTGAATTACTTGCACATCCTGTTTTGGAATCCCTAAAATCAACAGAGAATGCATGGTTGGTAGAATTGCTGTATGCTTTTAATTCTGGTAATATTAAAAAGTTCGAGGCTATGAAACCACAGTGGGAAGCTATAGCAGATCTTGCAGCTGAAGAATTATTTTTACGACAAAAAATATCGCTGTTGTGTCTCATGGAGGTAAGTTTATATTTATTTTAAATTCAATAAAATGTAAATATAATTTGAACAGTGTCAATATCCTATCAATATTTTTCTTTTAATTATAGATGACATTTAATAGACCATCCCACAACAGGCAATTAACATTTGCAGAAATCGCAAAAGAAACAAAATTACCTCTGAATGAAATTGAATTGTTGATTATGAAAGCATTGTCCCAAGGACTAGTTAAAGGAGCCATCGATCAGGTAATTCATTAATATAAGAAAATAAAAAAAGACGCGTGGCACTTGGAGAGTGCCGACATAATTCTTATAGCGCGTTAGTACCATGTGGGTTATGACATTCATGTCTGCTTATTACTGAATTGTTAATATTTTTTTATAATAATCTAACATAACTTGTCTGGATGGGAAGTGGGGATTAAAAGAAAATTCCAGGAACAAGGATGTTCATCTAGCGCTCAGGTATTTCGAACGACACAACGGCAAGCTTTGGGACGTGGGTCTATAGATATAGTATGGGGTATATTTGGATAAAGATAAATATATTGAAACGTACCGATGGAAGTAGACAACATTTGGTATAAAAAGAAAGGGAAAAATAAAGGGAGAGACAAGGAAAACTCGACAATTAAAATATAAAAAGATTGATTAAAGAAAGATTAAAAATAATGACAAATTAGTTTCACTTCTTTTTAAAACCAAAATGCATGTAAAGTACGGTCTCGTTAATCCGAACGAAATCGGGGAAACGGATTGTTCGGCTGATCGCATCGTTCGGATTACGTATGACTTTTTGCAAAAGTGCAAACTGCAAAAGACGATGAAAATGACTGACAATGCTTATATATATATATATATATATATATATATATATATATATATATATATATATATATATATAGTGATTATTTCGACCAGAAATTAATTTATAAATACTAGGAATTGTCAGTTAAGTGGTCTCTAATAAAAATCTTTGGTTTTTCTAAGAAACTCAATATTTCGCTATTTATTGATAGCTTCATCAGGAGTAGGAATACACTGTAAAACAATTTCAACAGTACAAAAATGGCGTACAAATACATTAATTTCTGTAAAGTGTTTTTAAATGTATTTGTACGCTATTTTTGTACTGTTGAAATTGTTTTACAGTGTACATCACTTTTTGTTTCTTTGCGTTAATATTTCAACTTCATTTCTATCATTCTATTTCAAGAGGAAAATAAATTTAAACTTCGTCTGTTTTTTTAGGTTGCTAATACTGTGAATATGACTTGGGTTCAACCTAGAGTTTTGGATTGCACGCAGATTTCCAACATGATTACAAGACTTAATGATTGGTGTAAACATGTTGATACCATGGAACAATTACTAGAAGAAAAAGCTAGTGAAATATTAACATTGTAATTTCTAATCATTAATAATTTATAAATTTTGTTCTTAAAATTGTTTTAAAACATTTCTCACTGATAATAAAATACTATATTTAATTTGTAGTATTAATAGCTAAACACATTACATTAACATGGTTAACACAAACAAATTATAATTTCTGTAACTAACTATAATTTTTCGGGTAAAATTACCTCGACAAGAGGACTTCGAATAGCAAATAATTTTAGCTTTTTAAAAAGAGTACAAAGCAAATAAACAATTATTGATTTCCAAGAATATTCTCTCATTCTTTCTGATTCTTGATTTTCGCTACCAGAACTCTCATTTGCCCTGTACTGATGTTTTCTACAGGAAAACTAGCAAATGCATGCCACGAAATGAAACGTTTAGGATTGCAGATATTGGGTTTGAGTGAAGTTAGATGGCCAGGTTCAGGTAAAGTTAAAACCATGAACAAAACTTTCTATTACTCGGGTAATAACGATCCGGTTCATCGTAACGGGGTTGGAGTGATTTTAGAAGACAAATATAACAATGCCGTCACAAACTTTGTGCCATTTTCGGACCGATGTCTACTTATTCAACTATCCGGAAAGCCAGTAAATATTAACATCATTCAAACTTATGCCCCTACGGCCGATAAACCCATAGAAGAGCTAGAAGCGTGGTATGCTGACGTAGAAAAGCTTATAAAAATGACCAAAAACGAGACCTAACATTTATCTTAGGTGACTTTAATGCTAAGTTAGATAGATGAAAAGTTTCTGGATTGATCGGAGACTTCGGACTTGGAGCAAGGAACGACAGGGGAGAGAGAATGACCGAATTTTGCCAACAAGACAACATGGTAGTGACAAATACATGGTTTAAATTACACCCTCGCAGATTGTACACTTTCACTTCACTACAACACAATGAAAACAGAGTAATCCGCAACCAAATAGATTACATATTGGCCAACAAAAGATATCACAATGCAATCGTCAGTGCAAAAACATATCCTGGAACTGACATCAATTCCGATCATAATCCTGTTGTTGCAAAAGTTCGCACAAGATGGAAACTAATAAAGAAACAAAAACCTCAACACCAACTATTAGACATCCAATTATTGAAAAACGACACCATACAGCAAACAGTAAATAAAGAATTAAACAAAAATTTAGGAAATATCGACCACAATAGAATTAGCGAGTACGATGACATAAACGTTCTGTGGAAAACTATTAAAGAACAAATGAACAATGTAACGGAAAAACATCTAAAAGTAACACCTAGAAATAACAAACAGGAATGGATGACAGAAGAGATTTTACAATTAATGAACAAACGAAGAGAATCTAAAGGAAAAAATGACAAGGACGGAGAATACAAAAGACTAAATAGAATAATTCGAAAAAAAAAATAACCGAAGCAAAAGAGAAATGGCTGGAAACAAAATGCGTTGAAATAGAAGAACTGCAACAAAGGCACGATTTTTTTAATTTACATAAAAAGGTAAAATAGTTTACATCGACTACCAAGAGAACAACTTTTCACACCATGCTGAACACGGATGACAAACTGCTAGAATCAACGGAAGATAAACTGAAAGAATGGGAAAAACTATATTAAAATTCTTTTTCACGACATACGAGAAGAACCAAGATTGGAAAATAACAACGAAGGGCCAACAATTCTGAAATCATAAATGGCTGGATTCAAGATTGGCTGGATTCAATATTCATCCCACTACCAAAAAAGCCAAACCCACAACACTGCAATGAGTTCCGTCTGATAAGCCTTATGAGTCATGCAGTAAAAGTCCTACTAAAAATCGTACATAATCGTATCTATAGAAAGTGCGAAACAATCATCGGAGACGATCAGTTTGGATTCAGAGCCGGCATGGGAACGAGAGAAGTGATCAGATCGGTTCAGTTTACTAGTTCTCGCCCAAAAATGCTACGACCAACAGAAAGATATATTTATATGCTTTATAGACTTCGAAAAAGCATTTGATAGAGTAAGACACGACCTACTATTAGAACGTTTGCAAGAAGTCAGTTTAGATAGAAAAGACATCAAATTCTTAAAAAACTTGTACTGGAACCAAAACGCCAGAGTTAGGATCGAAATTAGGAGGGGAGTTAGACAAGGATGTGTTCTGTCGCCTCTGCTGTTTAATCTTTACCCCAAGTTTCTATTTAAAGAAGCATTGGAGGATTCCAAGGATGGAGTCAAGGTGAATGGCGTAAATATCAACAGTATCAGATACGCCGATAATACAGTGTTAATTGCGGATTCCGACTCAGGTCTACAACGACTCATCGACAAGACCAACTCGACCTGTGATCAATTTGGTATGAAAATAAATATTAAAAAAACCAAAGTGATGTTAATCCGAAAAAACCAAAACGTACCTCAACCTTGCACAATAAATGGGCACATCTTAGAACAGGTCAATAGATTTAAGTACCTGGGATGTTGAATCGATAGCAGCCTAAATCCTGATCAAGAAATAAGATCGAGAATAGAACAGGCCAGAAAATCTTTCGAAAAAATAAAAAAACTGCTTTGTGATTCTCGAATAAAACTCGAAATTCGACTACTTTTATCAAAGTGCTACGTCTGGTCGACTCTATATGCAGTTGAAACGTGGACCCTTAAAACATCAACCGTAAATAAATTGGAGGCCTTTGAAATGTGGATCTACCGGAGAATACTCAAAATTTCATGGACATCGCATACCTCAAACGAAGAAGTGCTGCATAGAATAGGCAAGGAAAGAGAACTTTTTAACACAGTAAAAGTTAGAAAAACATCATACCTAGGCCACATACTGAGAAATAATAATATGCCCAACTTATAGTGAAAGGAAAAATCGAGGGAAAGAGAGGCCTAGGAAGGAAAAGACTATCGTGGCTCAGAAACACCCGACAATGGACAGGGCTAAATTTTGAACAGCTAATAAGAACAGCTGAAGATAGAGAAGAGTTTAAAATTGTAGTAGCCAACCTCCATTGAGGAGAGGGCACTTTAAGAAGAAGAAGATGTTTTCTAAACTTAACACTATATCTGTGCTCACAAGTCTTTTAAAGTTTGTTCATTTTGTCTTCTTTTTGACTCTTTTAATTGTGCCTTCCAAGTTCCTAGTTCCAGAAATATAGGATTGTGGCCCGCTGTACCTTTATTTACAGTTTGTAATTCTTTTATATTATGTAATTCTTGTAATAGAATTAAATCACAACAATTCTTTTGTTTTGTTCTACAGGGTGTTGCGTTTTGTAATACAATTCAAAGTTAAAAATATTGTTGGTAATATACAGAGTGTTGTGTTTAGTAATGCATTATAGTTCGATAATAATGTTGGTAATACAGGGATTTTTGAGGATGCAGTTGAATACCTTTTTTAAATCGTTGAATCGTGATCGATAAATGCCTTCGGATCGAACCTATGTCGAGCAGTAGACGTTGGACGAAATAATGAGAGGCCTGTATAGAGTAGTTGTGGCTGGACGACATACCCGAAGGCCCATGCTAAGTAGTGAACAAAATAATCGTATACCTATTTAGAGCAGAGTTTATTTTACTAGGTTAGATAAAAAATTAATTTTTTCTATACCATTACGTTGAGCTCTTTAGAGCTCAACTTAATAAGCTTAATGCCACTTTGATATGTCGCCGCCATGTTGGTTTTTTCAATATCATTGTACTGTATTGTCCAAACTTTAACCTATACTGTAGTCATAAGCCCTTTGTTCCTCTAATGCTGATACTATAAAATAAGTATATATATATATATATATATATATATATATATATATATATATATATATATATATATATATATATATACCGGGTGGTGAATCGCCTGACGGGCCATAGGAAATTCAATGGGAAATTCTAAATTGTTGAATTCCTGCTTCCCTAATTATTTTACATCAAAAGTCATAGGAAACTATTTGTAGAGGACTGAAATATCTATTAAAAACAAATGTTAAAATTGTTCTACGGATTAAATGTATTCCAAAATTCTGTAATAATATAATATATTTTTTAAACCATCCCTAAAGTCAGGCCACACGAGGTACAAGAATGTGCATGACATGTTGCGTTTGGTCATATAGATGATTCTGATATTTGACAATATTTGAATTGTCAATATTTTTATTTTGTGAATTAATTATACACAAATACTAAAATACGTAAATTTTTACAAATACTACTACTACTAGTGTAGTGTTGTTTACAAAGCAATAAAATTGATGAAATGTATTCAGTTCATATGAACGGAATTTATTCCTTTTCAAAATTTTTAACTCCGTAGAATTATGAATATTAAACTGGTCTGCAATGGTCCGAGAACTTATTCTAGGATTTTCTACAATTGCAGCATTTCTACAAACTCTACATTTATATCATTTGTTTTTCTAAATTTTTTGGTACATCAGCAATATTGTTTATACAGGTACAATTAGAAATCACGGTCTCATTAGTTACAAAATTTTGTATAAATTTTGAATTTTTTTTTATTAACACCTGTGCGGTGTTTGTGCTATCTGGTCACAAATGACCAATTATCAGATATTTTCTGACCTAACATAATAACAGCACATACTTAAATCTAAGAGCTTACCCTATGGCTTACTCTTATTTTATCTATTAACTAATGCACTACAACTAACATGCAATAACTTCACAGCACTATACTCTGCTTTTTACACTAAACTGTGACACATTTACACTAGCTCAAATGGTTTTGTCCTTATGAGTCTTCTCTTTAGTTCAGTGTTGTCAAGAAGCTGAATTGCCTCGACATTCACATGACTATGCAGCCTCTGCTCGTGACTTGCTGCTGTTCTCTTGATTATTTCGATCACAGTTTCCATATCCAGGTCCTGGTGGAGGTTGCTGTTACGGATATACCAAGGAGCATCAACAATGTTTCTTAGTACTTTGTTTTGAAATCTTTGGATAATATGTAGATTACTAGCTTTGGTACAGCCCCAGAGTTGGCACCCATAGTAGATGGGTAATGTTCGTTCTGGCATCAAGATCGGGTATCTTCGGCTCGTGTTCGTTTTTCAAGATGGCGGTTCGTGTCCGAACGTAC